TCTACTTCCTGATGACGAGACAGGGGTGAGTGTTCAGTGTGTTGATAGTTCTGATTGTAATCTTGTGAAGGGGTTTGAGAGTCGCACTGCAGCTGCAGGTGATGCTGATGGTGATGGTGATAGTGACCCGTGTTAACGATCTCCCTGTATCTCAGCCCTCTCCTCTCCTCTCTGCTCCTCTACTGTCTCTTCCTGGTACCTGTGTCCTGACAGTCTGGGAGTCTCCCTCTCTCCTGGCTGGCTGTCATTTGAAATGCTGACTTATTTTTCTGTGGAACCTCTAACTTCCCTCTGAGGGTGTGTATCTTCTGCGGAGACCCCTGTCCGGACCCCAGCTGCGGACACTGCTGGACACCCGGCCCTGCTGCTGTTCAGGGCAGGGAGAGACACCGCTGTCTGTGTTCTCACATTTCCACTGTCCTCCTGGTCTAACAAGAATGGACCTGAACCACCGGACCAGCTGTCCTCCTGGTGTAACAGGACTGGACCTGAACCACTGGACCAGCTGTCCTCCTGGTTTAACAGGACTGGACCTGAACCACTGGACCAGCTATCCTCCTGGTCTAACAAGACTGGACCTGAACCACTGGACCAGCTGTCCTCCTGGTCTAACAGGACTGGACCTGAACACTGATACTGGAATAGACACAATGATACTGGAATAGACACACTGATACTGGAATAGACACAGTGTTGGAATAGACACACTGATACTGAAATAGACACAGTGCTAGAATAGACACAGTGATACTAAAATAGAGACAGTGCTGGAATACATTGTACTGGAAAAGACTTAGTACTGGAATAGACACAGTAATGGAATACACCTATACTGGAACAGACACACTGCTGGAATAGACACCAGTACTGGAACACACTGATACAGTACTGGAATAGACACACTGATACTGGAATAGACACAGGGATAGAATACACTGATATTAGAATAGACACAGGGATAGAATACACTGATATTAGAATAGACACAGTGCTGGAATAGACACACTGATACTGGAATAGACACAGTGCTGGAGCACACTGATACAGTATTAGAATAGAGACAGGGATAGAATACACTGATATTAGAATAGACACAGGGATAGAATACACTGATATTAGAATAGACACAGGGTTCAAATACACTGACACAGGGATAGAAGAAACAGAACACAGGAATAGCTGTGGGTGAGATGAGACGAGTCAGTGATCAGTAACTCTCAGTGTCTGTCTTGTCTTTACAGGAGCAGCCCCAGGGAGACCACTAACAGTATGTGAGGCTGTTTGTCCTCCTGTCTGTCTCTCTCACCTGTTTCTCCTCTCCTGTCTGTCTCTCTCACACCTGTCTCCTCTCGTCTCTCTCTGCCTGTCTCTCTCTCACCTGTCTCTCCTCTCCCTGTCTGTCTGTCTCTCTCACCTGTCTCTCTCTCACTTGTCTCCGCTCTCGTGCCTGTCTGTCTCTCTCTCACCTATCTCTCCTCTCCTGCTTGTCTGTGTCTCTCTCCTCTGTCTCCCCTCTCCTGCCTGTCTGTGTCTCTCT